TTTTCCCTGAACTGTCACTATTGGTATAATAAATTTATCTTTAAATGGCACAAGATTTATCGGAAATTTTTGTTTAGGCACAGTCAAGCCCACACTGAGAACAACTGAAAGTGAAAGAAAGAGCAATTGGGGTGGGGGAGGAGAAGGAGGAGGCAGATTTAATGTCAGATGATACTATAATGTTTTTAAAGAAGTCCCACTTGATTCAATGGCCACTTCATTTGGTAAACACACACAGGGCTTCCCCATTAGTATGTTATCCTGAATATGGAGCTGTCTACCAATCCTGCTGTCCCAGGAGCATGGCTTATTTGTTCTTCAACCAACAGCCTAATTACCTGCAATTTCTGGAAATTGGCAACACAAGGACAGGGCAATACGTACTCAGCTGATTTCCAGAAGTGTCCCGGGTGAGAGAGCCTCCGGTTGAGCTTTGGCAATTTTTCAAGCATCTCCATCAAGAGGGTGAAGCTGGGCCGCTCTGCGACATCAAAAGACCAACACGCCGAGAGGATTTCCTAAAAGATGACATCATCTTTTCAAAAAAATTAACCAACAGCATCCTTGGAGAACAAAACCATTTGTTTAAGAAGAGCCCAAATTGTACAAAGTTTAAAAACAGCCTGGGTTAACTGGAAGCTGCCCCGATAAGTTGCACTATGACATCTATAATCCCTTGTGGTAATGGAGTTGTAGTCCAAGCTGTCAGTCTGCGGAAAGCTACTTCCAAGAGCTGCTCTTACGGGGAGTGCAGAGAGATGGAGCCTCAAACCAGCCTGGGCTTGGGAGGAACTGTAAAGCCAAAGACTAGACCTCGAGTTTTTCCAGACTGAAGTTGAGTCTCAGACTACAGACCTCAGGCTCAGTCATGTCCATGACTGCAGCCATGAATTGGGTGCAGAAAATATGGCCCCCAATTGCACATGAATTAAGCATATCTGTGGTTGCACCTCCAAAGGTCTTCCTGTATAATCTATCATCAGCTGCAGGGGGTGGTACATTGACTTGGGCCCCTGCGAGGGGAAGGGGAGGTTCAGAAATCAGGCTGGCCCTGCCATTAGGCAGAGTGAAGTAGCTGTCCTGGGGAACTGGGTGGGATGAAACAGGAGAACATATTGCGAGTTATTTTAAAAGAGGATGAAGTACTATATGTGCCACCTTGAGTTCCTGAATGAAATGTGGGATATAAACCAAATCAACCCAAAGGAACCATATTTTGATGCCCAAGGAAAGGCTCCTGGGGGTTTGAGTTCTTAAATTCAAGCCCCACCCCTCCAAGTGACCCAAAGGCAGCATGTGTAAATGGGAAATATACCCCTTCCTCTGTGGCCCCAGGCAGCCCCTAGTTGGGGCTGACCATGCTGAGAAATGCCCTGGTCTTTCTGCCAAAACAACAGATCCAAGATTCCCTGGTTCAAACTCTTGGAGGCCATGGGGTAGAGTTTGGCCAAGAGGGCAGAGCCCACTTCTACTTACACCGACTTCTTTCCCCAGGCTACTCGCTTGCAGGACGTGCTTCATTCCTTCGCCACTTCCAATCTGCCAGATCAAGGCCTCCGCTGGCTGGCTCTGAAAGGGCCACTCTCTGGCCTGGAGCTCGTACCACACGGTCCTGAGAGGCAAAGCAGTTCCAAGGTCAAGTTCAGCAATGCTGACAGCCATGCCATCAAATGGGCATTCATTCATTCATTCATTCATTCATTCATTCATTCATTCATTCTCCTTTAGTTTGCTCAAACTCAATGGAAACTTCTGGACTGTATGAGTTGTCAGCCAGTGGAGCAGACCACCACACATGAAGTAGCAAGTTCTTTGCTAGAGGTCTTCAAATATCAGCTGGAAGATTAATTCTCATAGGAGGAAACGCCATGTTTGCCACCTGAGCTTCTGTACAAAAGGTGGGATATAAATAAATAAAATGCCAGGGCAACCTGGTGAATTCTATACTTTTAAGTTTTTGGCTGACAGAATCCTGAAGGTGACCCAAGCTGTTGCAAAATACTGCTTTTACACTCATTTAAGCCTGCAATAAAGTCACCTGCTTACAAAAGAAAGTTTTTTAGGCATCTAGGTGTTACCATAGCATGGTACCTGAGGTGGAGCTGAACTAATATACTTACTTATGTATGTATTTTCTTTTAAGATTCTATGGATTTTGATCTAAAACTGTAATAAAGTAGGATCATTGCTGTATGTCCTATAGTTGAGTTGTTGTTATTATTGATATGATTTATATTTATTACTTTATATTTGAGTCAAAGCATCCACTGGCAATCAGGGACTCTTTTTCATTAAATACACAATATTCACCCACCCTGTATGTGTAAGAATTCATGAGGTATTCAAGCTTAAACAAGAACAACCCAAAGAGATCTGCATATGCCTAGTCATTTGATCTCAGGCAGTAGCACAAAACTAGATTCTTCATCAAGGATCTAAGTAGACTGCATCATATACTATGACAATAACTGGATTCCCATAAAACACTGGACAACAAGCTATCCAATAGTCTACCTTTGAAGACTGTAGGTTCTCCAACTCTGAAGGTTTTTAAGAAGAGGGTAGACCACCACCTCTCAAGGATTGTTTACACGTTGCAGAGGATTGGACTAGATGTAGCCACTTCCAACTCTACAATTTATGATGCTGTGATTTACCCCTATTTTAGCTTTATGTAGCATGTTGTGCAAATGCTACCAGTGATCCTATGTACCTGAACTCCTTAATCTTAGTCCAATACATTATGGTAGTCTCCTCAGTTTGGCATCTTAAAATTGAGTTATCTACCATTCTCTGAAAAAATGTCATGCTGGCTAGGGTTGTTGGGAGTTGTAGTCCAAAACATCCATTGGGAATGTTGTTTAAATAGCTGGAGGTAAACTTTGGGAACCAGAATGCCAAGAGCAATGAATCAAAGATACACCCCTCCCTCCATTTTTAAAGGTAATAATTTGGGAGGAAAATTAGTCTTCCTGCTATGTAATTCATGATTGTGTATAACACAGTATGCCTTTTTAGTGCAGAACACGGGGTGTCACCAAAGCATTGACTGTGTTTCTCTTCCAACCTTCTCTAGCAGAGTTCCAAATAACCTATATGGGGTTTTCAGATTGTCTCCCTTCCAAGCCTGCTTAACTTTTGCCAGATGGCCACACCACGGTTTTTCCAGAACGGCAGGATATCTTTGCTGACCTTGAGAAGAAGCACCTGCTATGACCTTTTCTCATTCTTACCCAAAAGCATAGACATCAGCAGCTTTGGAGAAGGGCAGCTTATCTTCATCTTTTCCAGGAGCCATTTCACGCACGATCTCAGGAGCCAGGTAGCACAGCCAGTCATGGGGCAACTTCAGTTCATTTTCACGCCTGGTATCAGAAAGGAGGAGATGAAAACAGGGGTCGGCTGCAGGTAGAGCTGGCGGAATTCAGGTGGGCTTGAACCAAGTCAGCAAAGACCCTGGTTCCCAAGTAGGTAATCGCTCCACCAACAAAATGATTCTTTACTATCTTAAACTATATGGATTTCTGCATATTTCTGGAATTGAAAAAAATTAATTTTGATTTTGGAGCTTTGGTTTGTTGGCATACTGTTCCTAATGAGGAACAAAGCAGGTCCTGCAAGTCTGTGCAGATCTGCATCATGCTTCGCATCCACCAGGCCCCATGGCTTGCCAACTTTCCTTCCCCCTTCTAGTGCTGGCCCACCTTGCGTGTTACCACCCCTAGGCTCCATCTACCAGGAATTACTTTTCTGTAGGGACAAAGAAGAGATGTCTGCAGGCTGATGCAACTGCCACAACCCCATGGTAAAACCCACACTTTTGAATGCAAAAATCCTAGGTCCAATCTTAGTTTAAAACGAATGGGGGGGGGGGGAGAAGATCTATTGAAGACTCTTCCTCACCCATGCAAATGACCCATTTAACTAACTAACTAAGGAGACATGGTTTAGCCACCCAGTCATCTTTGGCTATCTCCCACTTGTTCACCTTTTCCCTTGTTATCATGTGAACAGCTTACTGGGGAGCGAGATGATGTCCTAGAAAGGGAGGACCTCTGTGGGAGTGCCCATCTCCCTTGCCTCGTAGTGAAAAAGGGGAACAAATGGGGAGGGGGTAAATAAGGCTCTCTTAAGCCTCTCCATAACAACACTGACTCAAATCTTGTCGCCATGGATTTTTTTAATCCTTTGCTGTCACTGATCAGTCCAGAACCAAAAAGATCCATCTCATTGGCAGACCAGCCATCAAGTGTTGATGGCATAGAACGGGAAGTCCAATGAGGGAAGGACCAGATGGCCAGGCCATCTGTAGTGTGGAAACACTGGACAATATTCTGACCAGTCATACGTTTGCTTGCTAAGGTCCTTGGCAGTAAACATTAACCCAACGTAGCCTCTACCACTTTCATTTCTGAACTCCAAGTCTTAGAAAACTAATTCTCATAGTGAATTTTAGCCCTACAAGGAAAACCAGGTATGTTCCATTCAGACATAAGCACTTTGACTGCAACTCCACACAGCTTTACTTGGATCTGTAATTGAAGGGCGTGGATCCCACTGAATTCAACACGAGGGTTCAGAACAAGAGCCCACAATCTTTGCATTGAATCAGTGGCACTTAAGGCAGTCCTTATTTTGTGCAAATAATGAGCCTTGAAATACAGTAGGCTGCTTTTGACCAAAAAGGGTGATAAAGAACAAGCGTATCTTGTTCTGTCTTAGTAGCCAGTCTGGGAACCAAACAAACAAGAGAAAAATGTGGCTCATTGGCTTACTAAAATTCCTACATGGCCGTGCCAAACCGGTGAAGAGTCAAAAACAAGCATGACTTAAAAGCTCTAAAATTAGCTGCATGTCATAGAGAATTTAAAATGCGTGACTCGTTGCATATCACACAAGTTAATCAGCATTTTATTTTTGTTGGAATAAAGTGGCTTTCCAGTAATAAAATGGCCAAATAGATCAGACAAAAAACAATACAGGTAGCCCTCGCTTAATGACTGTTCATTTAATGATGGTTCAAAGTTACGGCAGCCTTGGAAAAAGCACTTTACGACCTGTAGTTGCACTTATGACTGTCTCAAACCATCACACGACCACCCTGCAGTCATGTGATTGCGATTTGCAACTTTTTACAATGGTCAGTAAGCTAATTCTGGCAAAAACGTCCATTGGGGAAGCTGGATTCACTTAACGACCACATGATTCACTTAACTACCGCGGTGATACACTTAACAACTGTCATAAAAATGGTCATAAAATTGGGTCCAATCACATGGTGACTCGCTTAATGACCACCCTCCTTAATGACCAATTTTTCCAGTCCCTATTGTGGTCATTAAGCAAGGACTACCTGTAAAACACATTGCTAAAAACAGTAAGGACAAGAATTTGTCATATCAATGTGAAAGTTTCCAACATAAGATCAGACCCATAAATTTGAAAGCAGCAAAGCTGAGATTTAAATCCAGTTAAATAAAAGAAACATTGGGGAATTTCTACTAGATGGAAATGTCACCATTATGGACAGCTTATCACTGAGAAGATCCCCATTTTTATTTCCTCCAGATAATCTCATCTATGGGTGTCAAGACCTGAATCTGCAAACTCTCTTTGAAAAGCCCGATCAAGTCCATAGAGGATGAAACAGTTTCCTAATCACAAATGGTTTGAAGCACTGAAGATCAGTATCAGTCTCGTTTTTTTTAACGAACCCAAAACAAAAGAAACCAAATACAGTGGTACCTCTACTTACAAACGCCCCTACTTACGAAATTTTCGAGATACGATCAGCTCCGGCCCCAAAAATTTACCTCTACTTACGAACTCGCCTCGACTTACAAGCCATTTTCCGCCCATTCCACGTGGTCCACGGCCATTTTCCTGCCCATTCCACGTGGTCCGTGGCCATTTCCCGCCTGTTCCACGTGGTCCGCAGCCATTTTTCCGCCCGTTCCACGTGGTCCGCGGCCATTTTTCCGCCCGTTCCACGTGGTCCGCGGCCATTTTTTTCACCCTGCCGCATGGTCAGCGGCCGTTTTTCTGCCCCTGACAAGTGGGCCGCGGCCGTTTTTTTCACCCTGCCGCATGGTCAGCGGCCGTTTTTCTG